CAGAAAGAGACAAGACCGTCCACGTGCGACCGTCCGGGAAAATGCCCGTGAGCGGATGGAACAAAGACGAGACGGCACCATCGCATGCATCCCCATACGGACGGGAGAGAGAAAGAGATGGAGCGCTATGGATGACCTATTTCAGTGACGAGAGCTCGACATCAACCGCGAAACCACCAGCCGATACGCGGTTATTGCGATACTATTGTTTCCGCGGTCTTTAAATGTCGCCGCATAATAGTCCGTCGAAAAAAGAAACGAAAAGAAAAGAAAAATATCTTAATCACAGCGAAGAATCCGTCTGGTGTAAATAAAGATTTTTCACATAGAGCTGCTTTTCCGGCTATCTCGTAATACCACGGCCATTTTTGATTATTTCTGTTTTTTTAATTAATATCTTTCTTCCACGGATTAAAAATATGATTTTGAAATTTTTTTAACTTTTCATTAATTATTCTCTTTGTTATACTATACGCAATTTAATATACGTAGAATAATGTTATAAAGAATAATATTAAACAAAAAAGTAAAGGAAAATTAAATTTTAATCTCTAGTATTAAAAATTTTATTTAGATGGAAAAAAGTATATGATAAAAATTTAAAAAGAGCAACAAATGCTGTTGAAGAAAAAGAAACTTTTCATTGGTCATTCCATTATTAGAATTTCCATTTGTGTTTGATTAGTTAAAAATAAAATTGAATGTATTATAACGTTGAAGTGTTTATATCTGTGATTTCTCATTCACATTTAGACCCAGGAATTAAATATGGATCATTGATGGTAATTTTGTCGTTTACATTGCAATGTAAGCGCAAATCAGATTTCGTATCCTTATAAAATGTAGATTAGAATGTAAGATTTCTAAAAAACGGTAAAATAACTGATTCATAATAATATCCAGCATCTAATTGTAGATTATTTATAACATTTTATTTAATTAAAATTTTAAAAATGTAAAAAGGCAAAATTAAATTGTTTCTAAAATACCTCTTACAATTAATTATATTTATTAAATATTTTAATTTACGTTTTTTGGAATATTAATTTTTATAACGATCCAGAATTAGTTTTTACTCTACCTTTTCTCTTCTTGAATTAATTAATTTTGTTTAATTACTTACTTATTTGTTGACGAGTGAAAGAAGTTAATCTTAACTGTTACTTTTCAATAATCTTAGCATAATTTTTCAACTACGTTTCTGAAGTTTAAAGCAATCATATCTGATAATAAAATGTTACATTTTTACTCGCAGCGAAGATCGATTGGCAAGATATCAACTATTTAGAGATTTCAAGACTGGCGGTCGACATTTGCATCGATGTCGAGCGCTTATCAGTTTCGCGAATCCGGACAGATGCATCTTTGATAAGCTCGAATGAAAGGCATGATGGATGCACACCCTCATTTGATGTATATAACAAATCGTCATTGAGTAAACAGCACGAAACCTCATGTTTCCACGTGTGCATCTAATCCTGAGGGTTGACACATTCGATTATCATCAACCATGCAGCTTTTATCAAACGCTACGGTCTTGTCTTTTTATCATACAAATAATATCACCATCTCGCATACGATTAATCTCACCATAATTACTCGATACTCAACTTGAAAATTTAACGTATTTATTACGATTCGCTATCTCTTATTTATCTCGTAATTGTCATTTGAATAAAATATCAAATTTACTTATATTCAAGTTTCTCCTTAATTAACTTTTTTGTCAAAAAATTTTTGAAATAAATATATCACGCGAGTTTAATTTTGAAAGGAAGGGGGGGGGCGGGGATTAGTGCAACAGGCATATAAACGACAAGTTGAGTACCCCTTTGTTACGTGCGACAATGATGCGGCTTGTGTTGGGTGTGTCAAATCGCCGCATACAGGTGCAAATTGCCACGACCGTGCGCTGGAGGCTGTTATTTCTCCGGCCTATGCAAGCAAAGATTACATGCTGGATAGAAACAATAAGCGCATAAGTTATAGGGGGTTCCCACCGCGGCTGTCAGTGCACGTCCGAACGCGGTAGGTAACATTGTTTTGTAACTCGCGGCTTTATTATTCTACCCTACCGTGTGCTAGGGTATATCCTCCGGTTACGTATCACATCCCTCCGCCGTTTCGTAAAAAAAAACATACACGTTAAAAGAGATCGACGAAATTTTTATCCTGTAATTCCACGCTGGCAAATGGTCTCTCGCCATTCAAAATATCGAGAAATTACATTTGTAATCGATCACTCTCCTTTCTTTTTTCTCGTTTCAGCCTTGAGTTCATTTTTTTTCGTGATGTTTCTTTTATTTCGAGTTATCAAAACGAGAAAATTGCATTGTTTAAAAACATTGTTTTATTTTTCTCGGTAGATTGGATGTTCGATTTAGCGAAATGAATTTCTGTCGATTCTTTTCAATTGCATTCTTGTATATTTTGCAGGAAATGTGGATAAAATTTTCTGACACATCTCTCCCTCTCGGTTGCCTTTTGCGATACATGGTTTCATCCTCGATTTATTCTTCCGTGAGGAGATTTTTATCAATGTTTCGCAATCATTTCTCTCTTTGTTAAAGTTGTCTCAAACGTATTCTCAATTGACTGCACGTAACAACTCGTTTGTAAAATTTCGTATGAAAAACGTGTGTTGGCCTGACTTTAGAAAGATTCTTTGACAGAAAAGAGAAACTTTGATAACGTGCCATGCGATGTTCGACATCAGGAAAATTTTAACACAAAGATGAATAAGAATAAAAAGAATGCCACTGATGCCACTAGTATATTTGGTTCTCAATGGCTCGTTGGAAATTCTCAGCATCCTCTCACGATTAATGTTCAGTAAGTAACATAAACCATAACATCTACCGAATTCTGGGTTCGTTTCGCTAATAAAAACAGCATTTCGGAGCATTTGCAGATAATTTCATTTTTTTTTTTATATAAATTTATTTGTATTAAGAATAAGAATTTGAATTTTCGTGTCGAAAGACACATAAACTAGTGGAATAATCTAAATGCATTCAAGACTTGGGCATTTGAACGTAGTGCTTAATCCAAAGACTTATATTCAGCATTCCACTGAAGACGATTTAATCGGTCTTTAATTTAATCTTTAATTATAGGACAGCAATAATGAAACTCTTGAATAGCGAAACCAAATCAGACAAACCCTGGCTAACGAGCACTCTACATAATAAAAATCGATTTATCAATTATGATTCGCAAATAAACGCCCTTTCTTCAACAAAGACGACTGTGTGCAAACATTTCAATTTAATGATCGAGCATTCTAGGTTTAATAGTCGCGGAATTCACGAAACCTATACTGAAATTAATTGTGACTGATCTTTATTCTTGTTACACGAACATCATATGATCACTTTTTATCAATGTTCGCTATTTTTTAGTTTTAACATATTATACATGCAGACTTTATATCATTCTAAATCATAAAAATATTGATTTTATTGTAGATTAGATAATATTATTGTTAGAAATGTTCTATAATGCCGTGCAGTGTTGTTCCGAGCTATTACATAAGTTTTGCGTGCCGAGATTTCCTTGCTTTGATTTGTCGATTGTTTTTTATTCCTGGAATGATCGATTGTTGAATAAGACTAATTATTTAAATGATTTCGCATTGGCACGAGTGCTTTTTCATTATTTTCATTTTATGAAATATGTATAAACATTTATATGAAACATATTACGTATTGTTTTGTGTACTATGCAAAATAATGTTTTTGAAGGTAGATTTTACTAGTGAATATAACATTTTACGATATTGAAGAGCGATATGAGATTTCGACT